ATTTTCCTCAACAAGTATAGATGATTGCAGATAACTGGGAGTGATTAACACAAAGTATTCTCATGAAAGTAAAATGGTGGCTCATTGCACATCAAATGCATCCTGGAGATTTTTAGAGGTTAATTGTGTTTTATGGAGCTTTGATTCAATGACTTTAAATCGTCCCACTGAGCTATCAGAAAACAATGTTGCAGTAAAAACACAGTGAAACAACATTTAGTTCAGGTAAAGGAATTATGCGTATCAAGGTCATTATTCTTTTCTTTTATTCATTTTTCACAACTTAAATTTTTATGTAACAAATAAACACAAATTTGTGTCAAAATGATAAATTAATTAAAACATTCCCACTAATATTTGGGTGAAGGTCTCTTGGCAAGTTGAAGCCATCAAAAAGCTCCTTCCTAACAGAACAGGCAGAGATTTTTTCAATTTGCTGGTTTTCTTGCTTTTTTTACATTTCAAATCAGCTTTAATGTGTGATTTGTGCTTGGGAACATTATTCTGCTCAGAGTATCTCTCATCTGACCCACAACGATAACCTCAAATGAGAGGAAATTGCGAGACTCAACACTCAACTGACCACAGTGACACTACTTTTACACAAAATCTGAAGCCTTGGTGCTCAACAGACATGTACAGATGCAGCTTAAAGTTAAATGAAACAAAAATAAAGCCACTTAGGTACAAAAACAGGAATTATATCTTTTTAGATGAGGATTTTAAATCTACAAATACTGAAACATCTGCCAAGCGTGTTGGTGGTGGAATCGTGCTCTGGGGTTGATGGATGGGATTCTGACGAAATGAGCAGCTAGGTCAAAGGTCAAATTTATTTATAAAACATGCTTCCAACAACTCAAACCTGCACAGAGTTTGAGTTGAGAGAAAAAAACATCAAAAGTCAAAACAGTGAAGCGATGATATTAGAAACTTGGACATAACTGGGTGTCCAACAGAGCAATGACCTTAAGTCACTGGTGTACAAACATTTTTCCAGAGGAATCAAAACAGATTAACTTATTTAATTTAATAAAAAAATACAAAATTTGTTTACTGTGATTTTTCTCTTCTTTACTTTTACCAGTTTAACAATAGATATAGCCTACATAATCTTTAAAGATCCCAAAAATGAAAAAAAGACTTAGGACTGTTGCCATATTAAGAGAAAAATTTACATTTGAAAATAAACAAACAGACAATTGACCTCACTTTGGACACCTCTACTCATCTACACACTAGAAATGGGTCTGAAGTGGCCATCCAAAACTCGGACTTCAACCCTATTGATAATCTAAAGTATACTTAAACATTTCTGCATTGTTCAAGCCATTAGTAACTCAAACCCTGCCAAGAAAGAGAGAGAGATTGAAGTGTGGGTGTATGCAAACGTTTCAGCATAATTATCAGACATGGGGATAGTATCCAAAATTTGTACTCAAGTAAGAGAAGCACTATTTCAGCATTTTTTTACTGAAGTAAACGTAAAAAGTAAACATCCAAGAAGTGATATAATTAAGAGCAAAAAAGTATTTCTCAAGCAATGAGTAACTGATCAAACTATTAATTACTTAATATTTTTAAAAAATACCTAATTGGACAGACCCAATTAAAAGGTTATGTGGAAATTTAGATTTTTTTTAAGGCCAAAAACGACAATCATTAATATAAGTAATAAAAAAATATCAAAATTGGGCAAACTAAAATGTTTCCAAATCAGTTTTTTTCAATAATAAAGTTATGAAATTTGAACAAAAACTTATGAAATTTTAACAAAACTGCTGCAGATACAGTGAGTATCTGTGCCTGCTGAATGTTTGTTTTTCATTCAGTAGGTAGAGAATCCAGACATTTTACTCAAGTAAGAGCAGATATCCTTCATAATCAAATTACTTAAGTAAAAGTAAAAAGCACCACATAGTATAAATAATCCCAAAAGAACATTTTAAATATAATTGAATAAATGAAACCAGTACTCAACAATGAGTATACATGTTTTTGACCAAGCAGCTAAGATAAAACCGATAGTGAACTTTCTTTGTTTTTCTTATTGCAGTTGCATCATCTTGGGGAAAGAAAATTTCGACAAAGTAAAAAAGAAGAAGATGACATAAGATGACATTCATGCCTGCAATGATTGGATGTAAACATATGAACGGAACTGGATATAGTGGTATGCACGGTGCTGCTTAGTGTTAGATTAAATTATAAAGCCCTTTATCTGATGCGCTCTTTCAAAAGTCCTTAAAGGAGATCTAATGCATCTTCAGTCAAATGGACCATCACTAATTACAAGCCCCACAGTGATTCCAGCTTTTAACTGCAAATTAAAAGCACAGCACGCTGAGGCACTGTACAGAATGTATACCATTATTGATTTCCCATATAAAACAGGTTGTTGAGATTTCAGCGTAAGGCAATTAGGGCAGAGTCAAAAGATCTGGTTTGAGTTTTGCAGAGAAGGGATTTTTAGCCAGTGTCTGCATTCAATAAAATAAAACATGAAGATTTCACTCTTTACAAAGTTGCCGTTTCTTTATGAGAAAAGCATATTTACATGATTGTTGACAGCTTTTCTATATAGTTTGTATTTTTGTGTATGTAAATATATGAAGTACCTGCTTATGTATGCAGCCGAGAACGTTATCTATGCTGCTGTCCTTTTTTCTTTCTTGGACTGATACACATGGTTCAATTTCTGAAGACTGCAAGTGAAAAATATATCAATTTTTCTCTTTCACAGGAATATTGAATATAAATCAGCACAACAGACAGCTAAGAGATTATGTATCATTTCTTTGGCTTTTCCAGGACATCCTTTGATCATTTAATAAATATCCATGCACAATTTATCACCCATATCTGCAAGGTCAAGATTTTATTTCATATTTTGAACCAAATGGATGGGAAAATTACCCTCAGCCCCCCACAAAAAAAAAATGTTGCATGGTAAATTGAAAGAGAAGCGAAGTTTGAGGTTAAGGGGCATTTCTCAGCTGCCAAACAGAATATGCTCCTCATCTCTCTCTTTCTCTGAGTGCTGCAGAGCAAAGGGGTTGACTTTTCCTCTTGTCTTTTATCACAGCGAGTGAAATAATGGTCTGTGTCGCGAGTGAGGGGATAACAAGCAGGGAGGAGAACCGCAGAAATGGACTGTCTCGCTAAATGCTTTCACATACTGAAAATGTTAATGAGGAATGTGAGGCTGTGAAATGCCAAAACTGCTTTCCCTTGATGGAACCAAAAATAGAGTGGGGAAAACTGAGGTGGCAGCTTGCCAACGTAAAAATAAAAAGAAATTTGGAAAGAAACAAAAAAAAAACAAAGTTTGATACGCTTAGAACGAGAATCACTCAGTAGCACTAAGAGCTTTCAGCGGCAAGACTCCAAAATCCATCACAATGACTTCACATGTAGCAGGGATTTTCTCAAGCACAGAGGGAGAAACTCATTATGGTGGCTCATATTTGAGCTGTTGCTGCTGTGGCACTGACAAATTGCTCCCCACTGAAACCAATGTGGCAAATTTCAAAAACAGCCCTCTCCTCATTACAGTGAACTACTCCAGGTGTTGGCTGGGAGTGTTGGGGAATGTTTCTCCTGATGTGCCGAGAAAATGACTGAAGATGTGTGCAGATGGAAGGACGGCCAGAGCCTTATTTGGTAAGTGCAACAGTGAGGCGAAAGGAAGTAAAAGGTAACAGTGGAGTAAAGATGGAGGCAATAATAATTACATAACACATTCGCCTAAAGGTGGAGCTTTAAAGGCTGATTAATCAATGTTAAAATCATTTTAACTAACTCTGTAACCTGCTGCTTTTGCAATTTGTTGAATACAAATATTCAACAAATCTTATTTTACCAAACTTGTTTATTTTGAAGGGAAAAAGGATATTTGTCATTATAAGAACTACAATTTTATTTTATTTATCTTATTTAACCATTATTCTACCAAGAAAATAAAATCTCTATTGAGGAAGAGCTGGCAAAGAGACAATTATTGTTTTGTGCAGCATAAAACAATGATTTAAAGGTGCAGACAACTCAAACATCATATATGCAAAAAAAATTAATATTTAAAATATGACAAATTTGACCAGAAAGGCTAATTTCAAACATGGACCAGTCAATTAGACATTGGTTGGAGTTGTCCGATTTTGCATGACTTGCAGAACAAACTGTAAAAAGAAATAAAAATGTTTTTTTTTTTTTTTAACTCACTATTCATTAATTACATCAAAACAAAGAGCTCACAGTTTGGTGATTTGGAGAACTCAATTAACTTACAATACACACTTTGAAACAAAAGGTTAGGGTCATGTGATCATGCAAAAATTTGTTTCTAAATTTCTTTTTTATAAATGGATTTTCCATCGTTGAAATGACAAAACTATTTATGAAACAGAGTTTTAAAAATGCTTCTTGATCCTGTTGGAACAGTGTTCCGGTAGAATCTGCAGGTTTTCTATATTCATCAATATTCTCATCAAAATCCAAAGACATTACCTCTGTTGCTTTGTTGGGGAATGCTTCTGAATGTTTGCCAGAGCATAAATTCTTAATTAAGCACATTAGTTTACATGTAAAGTCATCATGAAGCCTGCTAGAGATTTATATAAACAGCTTCTGCAGGAAATAAATCCCTGCACCACCCATCTTACTCCTTATGAGATGAGTGAGAAGTTTGACTTTTAAGTGACTTTAAAAAAAAAGTGATGACCAAGAATTAGTATCTCAGATTCCTCCTTGTCTGTTTACATTCCTCCAAAGCCTTGTTGTGTCTACAGAGAAGTTATGTGTAGCTTATTCCAAATGGAAGAATAGACAGAAAGGAAAGGCTGATTCTGATTTGATGAGGCTGTGGTTCGTGCGTTCCGGTGCCATGCGGTGCGCCGGTGACCCTGATTTATCCGTCCATTTAACACCGGATTAGTTTAGCGCCCAATTAGGATTGAAATGATCTTTCCGTGATAAACGTGACTGAACAGATGCGTTCTTACCGCTATGCGAGTCTGTGAAGATGCTTTAAGGTGTAAGACGATCCTTTGTTTGGGGACGGAGGGAAGGTCGTTTTGGACTCGCTGAGGTTCCGCCGTTGATCCTTTCCTTGTGTTATTTCCCTCTCGGGGAGGAAACAGCGAGACGTTTCTCTGACGGCTTGTCAATGTTCACCTCGCAGCATCACTACGAAGACGTGTGCAGGCACTCTTTGTCCATGTGTTCGCTCCTCAGTCGAGCTGAACGTCGATCAAACTATGTGGTCTGCTGCGTAAAACCGGTGCCAAGATTCCTGCGGGCCCGTTCCGTTGCGAAGATGCGAGACAATAGTCTGGTCATTTTGGCAGGGATTGAACCTCCTTTCAGCTGAATCGGCCGATTTTCGAAGCGAATCTCGGGCGCTCGTCCCTTCACATCGCTCTGGGTGCCTGGCTCGGGAATTCAGCGATAAATATGTCAGTGGCTCACATGCCTGTTGGCTCCGGCGCTGCCTCTCGGGTCCCTCATCTTTGCTCTTCCTCGCAGGAGGAGTGGTGAACAGTTGCCGATCTGTTGATCACCTGAAGATCCGCCCGTAAGCGGCGTGTTTATCCGGGCCGCGGCGCTCCGTCCACGCAGCCCGAACCTTTATTGGCAGATCGGGGGAGCTCGGTGAGTGACAGCCGGATCCTCTCCGTGGAAGCCCGTCGACCCTTCGTTTGCAAGGAGCGGTGTGTATGCGGGAGTGTGTGTGTGTGTGTGTGTGTGTGTGGGGGGGGGGGGGGGGGGGGGGGGGGGGGGGGGGGGGGGGGGGAAGTGAGAGGGGCGGGAAGGGGACAGAAAGAAAAAATAAATGGGAAGATGTTGCGCGTACACGTGTTTTTGGCGGTGCGCGCGCCCGACAGGTCATACATCTCGGGTCCGTAAACATCTGCTTCAACATGAGAGCCAGCGTTAAACAAAGCTGCAGCCTGCCGGAGTATTTCAGAAACAGCCGTGTTGACACTATTTAATAAGCAATGTGTTACATGGCAATAAATAATATTGGCTAAAATTGGATTCATGTATGCAGGGCCTCACACTGCATACATTTTGTGACATTACCACTAACTTCAGTTTCAGAGAAATGTGCTAAATTTGATTTTATACAAAAAATTGAAAAGTGCAGTGTGCATGTTTTGCCTTCTTGCAAGTTAAATCTAGCAGTACAAACAGTGAGCTGGAATGTAGATCACAGCAAATCGATGTGTTGGAATGGCCTAAAGTTCAGAGCTAAATTTTACTGAGAACTTGTGGCAATGCATGAAGTTTTCTGCTCACAGGTGCTAACCTGGCTGAGCTGCAGTAGTTTTCTAAAGAATAGGCAAGAATAATTCAGTCTCTAGATTTTTTCAAAGCTTGCACAAACACACTAGCAGCTGTACCTGCAACAAAAGTGACACCACTGGAGTTTTATTGAGCCTTTTCAAAACTTAGGATTCAAAAAACAACTCACTTACATAATGTGCAAGTTTTGCAGCAACCTCATAAAGATCATTTTGGTTTATTGGGCCAGTAAAGCTGGATAAACAACTGATTTGATGAGTGACAGTTTAGACTCTGTCTCTTTTTGATGCCTTCTAACATCAAACAAGCATGTCTTTTGTCTCCTGTGTTTCAAAAACAAGTCATAAGTAATCACTTTTTAATTTTCTTCTATGCTGTAATCATATTAAGACTCATTAATCACAGTGGGGTGCATTTGGTAAGAAATGGCTCAGTATATTTGATAGAAAATGATCCATTACAGGATTTCTTTATTTCACTGCCTGAGGCAAGCAGGAGCCTTCAGGATATGATGCCTGTGATACGATCAACATCATCTCCTGCTGAGAAACTAGCTGGACGACTGGGATCATTCCAAGATGCTTAAGCGGCTCAGTCTGAGCGAGGCTCTTCATCCAGTCTAAATGTGCTTACGCCGAAGGCCTCAAGCGGCGGGACACACATGGCTCATTTGGCAAATTGAAACCGCTGGTTGTTTTGAGTTTGCTGCTCGATTGTTCTAAAGCACAAGTTCATCCAACCCCTCCGTCTGATTCTGCAGCCATCCATGCTCGTCCTCCCTAAATCAGTTTACAGGCTAGATTCTGGGGAAAACTTAATTCTGGGTCCTGTTATGCAATAACAGGCGATATGATTCAGTGTTGCAGTTCCTTCGGGTGACCAAGTGGGAAAAAGTCACACAGTCATATGGTTGTGCAACGTCTTTGCTTGCATGTGTGCAAGTGAAATTGCCTGCACACAAACGTCGACCTTGCCAGAGTCCAAATTGTGACAGACCTTCTGGAAGGAAGATAGCAAAATGTTACGCAATAACTTTCTGTGAGAATACAAGGATGCACTAAGGGAAGGTTAAGGAACAGGTGGGGGTCAAGATTACAGAACAATTTCTTCTTGGGACTGAATAAAAACATTTTATGAGACAGATCATCAAACCCAGTTTAATGTTGAATACAAACAAGCAAAAGCAGTTGAAAATGCTTTTATTTAACAAAGGGAAGAGCTACATGAACCAAGTTGACCATATGTGAGATTGTTACACTTGGAAATAACTAAAAATGAACACTTTAAATGGCTGCGAAAGGAATTTCAGGACTCGGAGTTGGACGCAGCTTTTTCCAAATACTTTTTCTTGTTGAATCAGGAAGACTGACCTTAACTGAGGCAAAGAAGACCTGCAGAACTTCAGATGTTTTCCTGAGTTCTTTTGAGGTCTTGTAAATTTGTTTTTCTGAGAAGGTTCCTGCCGTTTGTCGCTCCACATCATGGGAAGCCAGCACCTTTGACCTCTGATGCTCCACAAAAGGAGCAGGTTTAAAAGTGGCAGAAAATGAAACAGACTGAAACATCTTGTCAATTCCTGCTTGTGATTTTTTTCCGCGGTTGCTTCAGACATCATTCCTTCCCTCCGCAGTTGGTGCAGTCATAATATTGTTTGTCAGATGACTAAACAGTAATCATCTCCACTAAGACTTTAGATCTATTAATGATTCCTGGCTGTTTTTTTCCCTCCTCTGCTTGTAGATGATATGCATACGACCAAGCCTTCCTGAGCTGCCTAGTGCTGGAGATTCCAGAGAAAAAGATTGGTTCATGATGCTAGCAGGATGAGACAAGTGTGACTGAGTCACTGACACAGGGCAGAGCCACTGCGGTCCATAGCAGCAGAGAGACAGGCCAGAACACATGAACACAAGAAATGCAAATACACTGCAGGGGAAGGTGACAGATGAGGTGCTTAGGAGAAAGCTGCAAAGGAACAGGAGGAAATTGCCCCAAGCTGGTCCTGTACCAAAGTCTGCTCCGGTCTATATTCACAAGGGCCACAGATTGTAGCAAGTGCTCCGGGGCCCCGTGTTCAGACGGGCAAGAGCTGCTGCCATACATATCTGCAACCCGGGGCCAGGCACGATCCCAGCTCAGGAAGAGCTGGAACAAACACGCTAACTCAAAACATGTGTAAAGTTCATAACGCTCTAATGGAGCAGCTGTGTGACGGGATGCATCCCCGAAGCAGCCTCCACATGTCAATACCCCAATCAGAGCCGAGCCTCAGCTTCACTCCTGCTCGTCTAGTTTGGGCTTTCACAATCACAAATTCCTCGACCTCAACCGTTCTCTTTCCCCTCGGCGTTTGGAAAGGGCAGGACAGCCCCCCCGTTTGCCGAAAAATAAATCACTTGTCTTGCTGGACAGGATTGACATTCAGTGTAAAATGTCAAAAGTCGCTCAAGTCATATTTGACTCTTCCTGTTTGTGCTCTAACCTTCGCCATCTCCAACACCTCCAGTCCTGCTGCCGGGATATTGTCAGCGGTGAGTGATGAGGGCCTGAGCTGTTCAGACAGCAGAGTCTTCTCAAGGTGTGACAAAGACTTAAATTGTGATCCATCCCAAAGTGCGCTAAAATGGTGGTCTGAGGAGTGATTAAAGAAGCTGCCATCAATATATAGCAGCTTTACTTAAAAGCCTTTTGCCCAGCAGGGTCCAGTTTTTTCTAGAAATATTGACTGTGGTCAGTTTCTGAGAGTGTAGCTTCATTTTCTGCTGTGCAGTCCTTTGTCTTTGTTTTTGGCTGGAGTTTTACTTTGACAGTCAACTTTTAACACAAAAACATGCTGAGCAGCAAGCAACATTTTCTGCTGACAGTCATAAAGTAACAGCTTTTATGTTTGGAGACCACCGGATAAATCTGCACAGGGAAACTAAATCCAACTTTATTACTAGAGCACTTTAAATCATTATCATTAACTTGGAGGAACTTGGAGCGAAAAAAACTTTATGTTTTTATGACATTTTTGTCTTGTTAAATTGTATCTGTTCGATTATTAACTACAAAGTAAAATGTTATTAAAATCAATAAAAAATTGTGGGATTTTTGCAGAAAAATTGATTTGTTAATCATTGTAGATACAAAACATAAAAAGGTCTTTCCCAGTTTGAACATGTTTTTAGTTAATTTACTTATTTGAGAAGTCAGATTTGTTTTTGAGAAAAAAAAGGTACATTTTTGGGTTTCAAGTTGCTCCAAAGATAAATGCAAAAACTTTGCCAATGTTTTTTTTTTCTCAGATGAATAAAAGCACATAATATAAACACAATGGAAAAACAGCACAGAAATAATCTAAAACCAATACAAAACTCAATTTAAACCATCTCACAAGGTGTCAAAGGTCATGGTGAAAATATGGGTTTCAGAAGAGGTTTAAAAACCACCAGAGAAGACGACTGTCCAATTTCAGAAGGCAGATTGTTCCACAATTTGGGAAAGTCAAAGCCAGACTGTCTTCCAAATGCACTGATTTATTAATTATCAATAGGTCTGACCAGCACTGTAAAAGGAGTCGCTTGTGTATCAACTCAATGCTGAAACGGAAAGATGCAAACGGTTATTTTCAACAATCTCAGAGATCTCAGTCTATTTTCAGGCAATTTGAAATCCATCACTCTGTAGTGAAACAAACTCAAACTTCAAGCGGCAAGATGTCAGAGACCAGAAGAGATCTAGTTATTAAAGAAAGAATTAACAAGTAGGGCGTGTTTCAAACAAATGACAAGTTTGAAAAGTTGCAGCTGTAAAAAAACCCCAGAAAATATCTGGAACCGTTTTCTCTCAATGCAGAAGCTCAAAGAGGTTCTGTCTGGTGAAACCCAAAGAGGGCGGACTGGCACAAACACAAGCAGAGAGCCGGGAACCTATTAGTTACTGAGTCACCAACTCCTCTGATTACCAAAGTACTCTACAATCAAGTGTGAGGCCATCTGCCTGACAGCTGGTTTGGCCCAAACTGTCATCAACTGCAAACAGGAACACTGAAAAAAAAAAGAAATAAGATTATACAATCGACCATGTTGAAAAACAGTTTTTTGTATTCTCACCATACTTCCCATCTTTAATTCACATTTTTGCTTAACTCTCTTCCTGTCTTTTTCTCTCCTTATGCATTGCAACTGAAACAAACCCAAGTGGAGCATTATATCAAAAGCTGGAATGCTTCACACATTCAATTAATGCATAAATAAATAAAAATGTGGGAGCCAAAATCCCTCAACAAGGTGAGACTAAAAAAAGACGAGCAAAAATTACTCCTTAAAAATGTGTGCATTTATATTTGCTCTATTTTTCAGAAACAAGAACTCATTAAGGGCCTCATTTGTGATTTAGATGTTTTAAATATTCACAATGAATTAGACAGTTTAGGG